AGAAAACATTGAGTCACCTTCGACAGAGATTTTACTGGATAGGTATGCGGCAAGATGTGGAAGAATGGTGCAGAACATGCAGTACATGTAGTGCTAAAAGAGGACCCAAGCATAAGGGACGCCCACCTTATGAAGAGTTGCCTGAGAATGTGTCAGAGTTTGTGAAAGTGTTATCAGAAAGGATGGATGATATTCATCATCAAGTGTGTTCAAACTTGAAAACGTCTGCTAATTCGGTGAAGTTATTTTATGATAAGAGATCTACTTAAGTCAGCTTTGTACCAGGAGACAAGGTGTGGTTGTATAATCCCAGGAAGACCAAAGGGAAGTCTCCTAAGTTGTCTTCTACAAGATCCACTATGTCATATGGGCCTTCCCGGTCTCTCAGACGTGACTTTCCAGATAAAATGTAGTCGGCGAGGTAAGCCAAAGGTGGAGCATGCCAACAAGCTTTGTTGTTATCACGGTCCAGGACATTTCAGTTGGGACGAAGTGAACAACAGAACAAATGACACTGCTGAAGACGTGTCACCTGAAAAAGCCACTGTCGAAGAAGAAACTCTACTCAGTTTTGAGAAGGGAAACAGTGAAGCCCTTGATGAAATTGCTACCACTGATGTTACTGTTACCGATGATAGGACATTTCCTGATGAAGCAGATGAACCCCACATGAAGCAGAAGCCAACGAGATGGAGACCAATACGGAAGAAGATACGTCCCGTAAAATTAAGAGACTTTGTTGAATTGCAATTTTGTGTTTGTAAATTCTGTACATTTAATTAAGTTATTGTTAATTGTTTATTGGTTTAATGTAAGTAGCTATTGTTCGGGACCAACAATACTAAAGAAGGGGCAGTGTTACGACAGCGGAGGTCAGGTGACGCTAGTAACACGTCATAATCTCGATGCTTCGTGAATCCTCTGGAGGTTACTAGATTTTGGTATTCTTTTATATATAAGACGGTCAAGACGTGACGGCAACAATGTAATGCTGTGTAACTGAACCGTGGACAGAGAGAGAATATTGTTGAGTCGAGAATTATAGCGTTTGTTACAGCGCGACTGTGGAAATTAAGTGTATTGCAAAGTTGTATTCAGAAAGAATAAACCAGTTTTATTTAAGAAAGGACTTGTATCGCCAAAGTTTCTTCGGAAAGAAATTATACGAAAAATTAACTAACGAACGGAGGCGTAACAATATTATAACAAAAACCGAAATCTGAAGCCTTTCTTTACGATTTTGGAAGCCTTAGAATGTCTGGCGGAAGACCAGTCACAAAAGGGAGACACTAGAAGAGAAGCAGACAATCTTGCAAATAAGATGCAAGAGCTAGAATTTGTTCTTATGTTGAGCCTTTAGGATGAGATTTTGCAAAAGTTTCATAGAGCAAGTTAAGTTCTGCAAAATGAGGATGTGAACTTAAAAACATCCACAGATCTGTAGGGGTCATTAGCTGACCAACTGCACACTTCAAGAGATGACTTTGAAAAATGTGAAGCAATTGCAAAGAAAATACTGCCAGATGTTGATTACAATGCAGCTCAAACTTGCAAACGTATCAGAAAGAAGATATCCAATGACGGAGATGCACCAGAAGTAAATCTGAATGCCAAAGATAAATTTCGTATCACCACTTTTTTACACAATTGTTGACAAACTAGAAACTCAGATGAGAAGGAGAGGAGAGAAATAGCGGACATATTTTCTTGTCCAAGTGATGTGCCAAATAATGTCATTTCATCATCTACTGAAACTGAAAGGTAATCTCAGTGTTGTCAAAAGCTAATTGATGCTTATCCAGATGACTTGAACACTAATTTCTCTGCTGAGCGTCAGCAATTTCACTTATATGTGTGCCATAAGTTCAGTGCAACAAAAATTGTAAAAATCAGATTCAGTCATGCTGAACTTTATAAAATAATTGTAGAAGACAATATTGAGTTTGCCTTTCCAAATGTAGAGATTGACTTGCGTATATTTTTAACATTAATGGTCACAAATTGTACAGCTGAGTGTTCATTTTGTCAGTTGAACCATATTAAAAATCCCAACAGAACAACTATGCGACAAGACAGATTTGTTATGCCAGATTAGTTTTGAGGACTTGATCAAAGACTTTGCAATTAAAAAAGTAGGAGAAAACTTTTAAAGTATAAATAAAGTTATAAGAAGCCAACAATAAGCATTATTTTGCATCTTTTGATCCATGTATGTTGAATTGCTATGTATCTTCCAGGCTAGAAAGCAATGGACAAAAAGATGTTTTGTTCGTACAAATAATGATATTTCTTCATTAGAATTTCTCTTTTCAAAAATTGACCACCAACATCGATTTCTGTCGAAAGAATCGTTTTCAATAATTTTTTGTATTTTTCCCTTATAACAGTTTATTTAAAAATGAATAAAAAGTGTTGAAATTTTGAATTTGTTCATATTGCCCTAGTTATAAGTAAATAATTTGCTTATATTGCTTACTGCTATTTAGTGTTAAATAAATAAAATTCAAAAACAGGTTATATTTAATATAGTTGTGGGGTCTGGTCTGGAAGAAAACTGAATTTTTAATCTATTATTTCACATTCAGCACTTATTGAGTCTTGATGTCTTGTCAGTTAGACAATGGAAGGGTCAAGGGGGGAACCATTGTTTGGCTGTGCTAAGGGCATCAGTTGGCCTTAATCCGGCCCTGCATTCAATGCTACGTAATGCCCATGGAATTTGAAAATCGTATCGATTTTACTTACGAATGATAAACTTATATTTTTTCATAGAAAGGGATCTTTCATAAACTAATTAAAACTAACAAAGTCAAAAGAACAAAATAGCTGAAAACATAAAAAGCATTATTTATAAATAAATATTTCTATTTTTTATTACTTGTAACAATTGCTAAAGTATTGCTTTAAATTCGATGACGCGGAACCCACTTTGAGACTAATAATGCTTGGAGACGGCTTGAATGAGTAATGAAGAAAAACTTTAATATAAGTTTAACATAATAGCAAATGCATAAAGTTTTGACAAGGTTTTGTCATCATCAGACAATTGCTATTATATTAAACTTATATTAAAATGTTTCTTCATCACACATTCAAGCCGTCTCCAAGCATTATAAATATTACTCTAGTATTACAATTTCAATAAATCAATGCATAGAAATTGGTGAAAACTCTGTGTACAACGTCTCTACGAAAGAATTATTAAGACAATATCTACAAAGTTAAGAAATATAATAATAATAAGATTGAAAAAGTCATAGCAAGTGCATAAATAGAGTACAAAAGATATTGATGTCAGAATAAACTTCTAGAAAATGAGCTATTAAATGCAGGAACCAAACTAGACACACCTCTCTCAGCATCTACTCAAGAATTTCAACTTCAAATACAATTAACTGTACAATATGGAATAGTATATTCAATTTTGTCTCCGCCTATTACCGTCACTATTTTCTCTCCTATTACTGGAGAACCTTCCTGGACTACTCCAGATACACCACTACAAGTTAAAGAGTATAGCAGATGAGAACATCACCCAATCCAAACAACGACATACTATGTATGAAAGGTACCATGAAAGGTATACCAAGCACAGTTTGAAATAACTTCCAAGGTGAACTGGTAAATTAGAGAACAATAATTTTTCATCTTGCTGCACATGTAAAAGGACTAGCTTTGTTTTACCCACCATCATGCCCCAAGTTGGAAAAAAAACGCGGCCTAGCTAAATAATGAATGTATATTTGATGTAAAATTATTATCGATGCTATAAGTGTAGCTACCAGTTTGACCGCCAATTTTGATTTCAATCCTTTAAGTGGCATGCTCAATACTTTTTGGCCACACCTTTTTTTTTTCACACCTAAGGCGTTTTTTATTAGATTCAATAGTGTATGAGGGAGGATATGTTAACAAGATTAAAGCAAAGTAAGTGTGCATTTATCTTTAAGCGAAACTGTTCAGTTGATAATGGAAGTTGAATTAATTAAAACTGTTGATAAACAGATAAATTCAGCTTTCAGGAGTTATGATGTTATCAGATCAAATAGTATAGAAAATTAGAAACATTTATCTGATGGAGATCCAGAAAACCCACAGGATTATTTAGACAACTGCTTTCTGATAATACAAGAAACAAACTTCTTAACAAACGACGTTTCTGCTGCAACTTAAAACATATATATATTGTTACGACAGCGGAAGTCACGTGACGGTGGTAACACGTGATGAGTTTCTAGAAGGATCGTGAAGGCCCGAGTGTTTGCCAGACGCCCTCTATTTTAGTATATAAGCCCGGCAAATATAATTTTGCAGATAGGGAGATATAGAGACAGATAATCGAATCAAGTCGTAAGTAAAGTGCGTGAGTCGTTGTGAATCATAGCGTGTGTTTAAGTTAAAGAGACTGTGGAAATTAAGTGTATTGCAAAGTTGTATTGAGAAAGAATAAACTAGTTTTATTTAAGAAAGGACTTGTATCGCTGAAGTTCTTCCGAAAGAATTTTTACGGGTAATTAACAAATGACCAGAGACGTAACAATATATTGCCAGGAAATGCAGACACAAATATGTAGGATTTAAAACCTACTCCCAAAAGATGACACAAAAAGGGAAGTACTATAATTGTGAACCATAGTTTCTAAATTATTGTTGTTGTGTACTTTCGTTATCTTGTGAATAATTACATATAATTTAAAGATACGAATTAAGGGCGTAAGAAATTAAATTTTATTTTAGCAGATTATTCTTACTTTAACCATGATAAAATTTAATAGTCATCATCTTCTCATCTATATTACAGATTATTTGTGCAGAAATAAGAAAAAAAATGTTGTAAATACTTTATATATGTTGATTAATGATATCTAGAAGGACTTAATCTTATCACTAAATAAATAAGTTGTCTCTTTGCTACCAAATATTAGAGCAATTACTGTTCAAACCTTGGTAGTAGTGAACGTTGTTCATCGATTTCCCTATATAGCTAGACATTATATTTCCTAAGATACAACTTGCCTATCAAACCAAGCCTTGAATGCCTGACATTGAAGTGGTGTAAACCCAGGAAAATCTTCCCAACGATAATCGTCTCTAGAACTTAACAATTGCTTATTAGGCTCCTTATCTTCATAACGTGCTGTGTGCTCACTACTCTTTAAAGACTCTGTCTTACAGAATGTTTTAGTTTCTTCTTTTGAAATGAATTCCTGTTGTTCTTGCTCTGTTTCTTTTGATTTTAAAGATGAAAAAGCAAATTTCTGGGGTGATTCCAAAACAGGATGTTTAGTGCTTTGAAGACTTTTATGACTGGACCCTTCTGTCTTGCATATTTCAGTTTCCATTTCAATAGAGGTTTTACTTTCTTCTCTTGAAGTGCTATGTTTTTGCTTTCTTTCTCCTTTTATGGATTTTAAAGATGAAAAGGCAGATTTCTGCGATGATTTCGAACCAAGATTTTTAGTACTTTTATGACTGGATCCTTCTATCTTGCCGATTTCATTTTCCGTATCATTAGAAGTTTCACTTTCTTCTCTTGAAGTGTTATGTTTTTGTTTTTTCTCTTCCTTTTTGGATTTTAGAGATGAAAAGGTAGATTTCTGGGATGATTTCGAACCAAGATTTTTAGTACTTTGAATACTTTTATGACTGGATTTTTCTATATTGCAGATTTCATTTTCCGTATCATTAGAAGTTTCACTTTCTTCTCTTGAAGTGCTATGTTTTTGTTTTTTCTCTCCCTTTTTGGATTTTAGAGATGAAAAGGTAGATTTTTGGGATAATTTCGAACCAAGATTTTTAGTACTTTGATTACTTTTATGACTGGATTTTTCTGTCTTGCAGATTTCAATTTCTGTATCATTAGAAGTTTCACTTTCTTCTCTTGAAATGTTATGTTTTTGTTTTCTTTCTCCTTTTTTGAATTTTAGAGATGAAGAGGCAGATTTCTGGGATGATTTCGAACCAATATTTTTAGTACTTTGAAGACTTTTATGACTGGATCCTTTTGTTTTGTAAATTTTATTCTCCATATCATTGGAGGTTTCACTCTTCTCTTTTGAAGCACGATCCATTTTGTTTTCTATCGTTTATTTTAGATTTTGAACATGAAGAGACAGATTCATGGGAAGATTCCAAAAAAAGGACTTTCAGAACTTTCAGTTATTTCATGACTGGACAAATAATAATACAAATAATAGTTTCCGTATTATCATTGGAGGTTTTACTTGGTTCTTTTGAAGTGCAGTTCTTATGTTTTCTGTCATCTGTTTCAGATTTTAAAGATAAAGAGGTAGAATTAATACTATTATGCCTGGACCGTTACATTTTAAAAATATCAGTTTTGTTACTATGATCGTACTATCAGACCATCGTTATAAGATGGGTTATTAAATTTAAAAAACGAAAAAGAGAAAATAATGAAACTAATTATTTTTACAATTTGGTTAATTTTTACAGAAGGTTTGACTCATTACAATGGCAGAGACCTAATATAAAACATAATCTAGTTAACGCCAAATTATCGAAGAATCTATCGAAAGTGTTGCCGAGATACAACAAAACAACAATGTTTAAAATAACAATATATATATATAGAGATAGATAACAATGCCCTATACTGAAGATCTGTACAAGCGGTTCTAAACATATGAAACTTAAAAACGGCAAAAATACTAGCAAGGTAACGTTTTCGTTTTAAATTGTTTGTCTGACGATGCTAAGCTAACTCAATGAACGAAGCAAATAATATTATTTTATCTTAAATCTGAATATTATTTTAAAGTTTATTTTGCACAGTATCTCCTTTAGTTAACACCAATAGGTTCGTGACTTCGTTATCAATTAATTAAGTGAGAATAGATAGCTGTTCCAATACCTTTTTAACGTTGTTTAAATCAAGGAAGCCATCCTTATCTTTAGTTACAATCTGTATATAGAAAAAAAACTGCTAGCTTTTTAAAATATATATGTTTCTATAGGCTTATTGGTTTACTTTGCGTAAAGAAACTTGGCAACTTAAAAGGACGAAAATATTATGAAGATAAGTTGAAGCAGTGTTGTATTTTTAAGTAACGACAAAGCATATTCGCCGAAATGCATAACATTCACTCGTCTAATGAAACGAAGTTCTGCGAGATACAATTACAGCTTACTTGCGACTTGAATACTGCATTACAATCTTCTTATACGTATTATAGATGGAAATATAATAAAAATGAAACTAAATGAAGTGATGATTAACAGGATAAAAATAATAATGTTAAATTAAAAACAATGAACAATCTATGAACTTAAAAATACTATCTAAAATAAATAATTCATATTACCTTATATTTAAACGATTTTGAACACTCAAGTTACCTTGAAACCCACAGCCGAGGTGGTGGACATGTATCATAACTATATTTTAACATTGTTTTGCGGTTCATAAATAGTGTGATACCACCGAACATTTATTGCTTTCTGGAAGGGTAAGTAAAAGCCTTTTCTGACGCAAATATTCAGGCATTTATATCATAAAGACGTATTCAAACCCGGGAAATATATTTTCCAAGATTCCCAGTTTACCCCTGAAGAAGAAAGGTTCACCTTTCGAAAACGCTCGGGTTGTACGTAATGGCATAGGAAAACAAAGAAGTATGGACCATCTATTTGTTTATTTGAAGTTAAGCACAAAGCTACACGATGGGCTATCTGTACTCTGCCCACCACGGGTATCGAAACCCGGTTTCTAGCGTTGTAAGTCCGCAGACATACTGCTGTGCCACCGGGGGTAGTATGGACCAACCTCATGAACTACGACAAACTAGAAAGACAAACCTGCAACAAGTTGTACCCCATCTGTGGTAAACATAATACTGCATTTTATAACAGGTGAGGATCCACGAACACAAAGATCAGTAGCAAAAACCTTCCATATCTCCCAGGCAACAGTACACAACATATCCAAGAAGGATCTCTGCGTGGAAAAGCGAACAAGTCACGTGTACACAAAATGTTTCCATAATATAACCAGAAATGGAAGATCAACTGCATAAAACCATATGAACGGCTTATGGCCAGGGGAAAATGGCAGGACATAGTTATACTTGGTAAAGCTTATATGTACTTTGAGAACTATAACTATTCTGTGCCACTTTTAATTTAATATTATTAACTTACTATAGTCATTGATGTACCTTTTTTCCAGAACATATACTTCTATTCCTTATACCACTCATAACATCTTGTACTTAGGTCTGATTTCCTACCTAATAAGTTTTTATCACCAACACCGTTTCTTCATGTCAGAGCCTTTTTCTTCATCTATCGCGACTATAAATCAACTTAAATAATTTGCCAGCTGTTTACGATCTAAAAAACTGACATATGTTAGTTCAATCAACCTTTATTTAATCCTGGGTTTTAAACTTTCACCGCAACATTAACCAACGCAATATTTAACAGTCATACTACGTTCATCACTTCTTTACATCAGTATATCACACCACGTGGTTTTCAACTCTATTTTAATTCAAAAAAAATTTGAATCTAAAACACTTTGACCTTGATGCGTCGTCTAATCCACAAAACTTTTCTAAGTGTGAAAGAAGAGATATCTCATCAGAGAACGTAAACACTGACTGAACTGTGCTATAATATTAAATCGAAAGTCCATCCCAACTTATATCAAAGAGAAATCACCTACTTATTCATCAGCATCATGTTCACTGCCCAACCAAAATATTAGATGCTTCTAATATGCAATTTGATCAATTACATTGTGTGTGTGTGTAGTGTGTAACCTTCGTAAAAGTATTAAACTACTCACTACGCTTCAAAAGAAATTTGTTGTGGTGTGCAACAGAATTAAAAAATGTTAAATCACATGTATGCTGTAAGAAAGGACTTGCTGTCCTGCATTTCTATCCCTCCCGAAAAAACAATTTAAGTGGTTCAGTTCAAAGAACACAGATTATTAGAAATACACTATGTAGTCCAATGATTTATGTTACACACGAGTTCTCTGTGTTTTCTTACAATTGGTATGATAATGATGTGGTGATAATATCATAAGGATATGAGCCCATTCTGTCTTTTTCAACTGTGTGGGCTACTACGAGTAGTGTAATGATATGAGGTCACTTTATTCTCATGTTTTAGTTTCCATTTACCACTCATAATTCGTGTTATTCTTTTGGTACAGGACAGCACCAACTGTGTTCTGTCCTCTTAGTTAATATGCAAGCTTTTCAAAATTTCCGTTTCTTCTTCAGTTCAGTTTGGACACAGAACTAAATTCCTTAACCTTTCCTTATTCTCTCTGTTCCCTGGTTAACTAATTATACATTAACAGTATGCTCTTGCTGAACGATAGCTTGTGATGTTCCAAAAGAGAAAGCTATGTAAGCTTCACTCAAGTTTTAACATTTTTCTTATTTTAGGAGCTTCCAGAACTATTGGTTTAACTTGATTTTGCTCTAAGTTTAATTTTCATGGTCTACTTTCATTGTAGTTTTATTTATTTTTTAACTTATAGGTAGAGGCTCATCCAGGATTGGCAAGAGATAGCAAGTGAAAGCCAGTAAACGCTTCTTGTTCAAATCTACCTTACCAGTTCAATACACTCATTATATTTGCCCACTGTTTTGTTTCATTATGTTGTATTTGTGATTTGATTGTTTTTGTCTATTAAGGACTGTAGGTTTTACATTTTTGTGTGTTGGCTCCTTCTGTGCAATGACTTCAGAGGTCATAAAGGATCCATACTCCGTGATATAATATTCGTCTAATTTACTTTTAGCGGGCCACAACTAACTGCTCTGTATGAAATCTGTGCATCGAGATATACCACACGTCTCGTAAATACCCGAGCATTATTTCCAATCTATTTTACCCCGTTATGTTGGATTTTTAAACCTGATAAAAACTGGCTTTTCATAATGACAATTCTACCATCCATCACTCTTATATCATCTACATTTAGTTTGAGGAGAATGAAATAGACTTCATCTTTCTCCCCTTGCCACTGTTGCATATCTGCTTGTTTGTTAATTTCCGGTATAATTTCTTTCCGAGGAACTTTTGCGATACAAGTCCCTTCTTGATTAAAACTAGTTTATTCTTTTTCGATACAAACTTTTTATAATTCACAGAATTTCCACAGTCACTTTAAACTTAACCTTTATAACACACGCTATAAATCACACACTTTGCTTACGGTGCCTACTGTTCGCTTGACTCAATTATCTATCTCTTCACTCTATCTATCTCTGCAATCGCGCTGGTTTTTCTCGCCAGACTTATATACTAAAAAAGATGGCGTCAAGCAAACACTCGGACTTTCGCGAGGTTCCCCGATAAGTCATGATCCTCTAGAAACTACAGCGCGCATGCTCCCAGCGTTGCGTGACTTCCGCTGTCGTAACACCACTATAACCCCCATATCACAGTCATTTGGGATTTGCTGTAAAGTAATATCCAAGCACATAATCCAGTACCACTACGACCAAACTTAAGACACTTCGAAGAGCTACTATTTGAAAGATAGAGAAAGATCAAACCTATTATCTACCAGAAGAAATGGTGGGTCAACACGCTATTATGACACAAGATCTATTTTATTTTGGCTGGGAGCGTATTTTTGAAATTATGCAAGCTTCTTTCTATTGGTCTACTTGTCACTACAAGTCCAGTAAACTCGTTATAAACAGAAAACTAGTATAGCCACTGAAACAAGGGCTGAAGTAATATATCACGTGGCTTCCAGCAACATAGTACAAACAGTGGATAATATTAAAGACAAACTGTTATCAATCGCAGCAACATTAACAAATATCAAGTATCATTAAGGAAGATCACAAATCACACACATTGTATATATGCACATACATATATAATGCTGTCAATTAGTATATGTTCATTCATGAAAATTTATGTGTGTGTAAATATTAATGTCGCGTTTTGGAACACTTTCATTAACCACCCTCCAAAAATCGTACATCACATATAATAGTTAAATGAACCGCCTAAACGTCACGTTAGTGTAGCCCATATAATGTATAAAGTTTCGTATACTCTAATCCCTCATATTGATGGCACACGACAAGACACACATTCGGCATGTAATGCTGTTTGAATACAAGGGAAACAACGCCTCTGTAACCACAAAGAATATCAAAGAAGTTTATGGAAATGTTTTGAACGTTCGTAAGTGTCACAGATGGTTCAGCAAATTTAGTTCAGGTGACTTTAACATTAAAAATTGTGATGGCAGGAGCCGACATGTTGGAATTGAGATTGATACTCTGAAGACGCTTGTTGAGTCTAACCCAAGGCAACACACTCGTGAAATGTCACTGAAATTGCATGTCTCTCATGAAACAATATGTAAACATCTAAGGAATATGGGACAACTCCATAAAGAAGGTGTTTGGGTGCCTCACGAACTCTCTGATGATTATAGTTTCCAACGTGTGAACGTTGCTTCGTCTCTTCTGGCGCGTGAACCATTTTTGAACAGAATTGTCATCACTGATGGAAAATGGATTCTCTATATGAATATTAAACGCCAAAAAACAATGGCTCAGTCCCAGACAAAAACCATTTCCGACCCCAAAACCTGGACTCCATCTGCAGAAAGTGATGCTTTGCGTTTGGTGGGACATCAAAGGAATAATGCATTTCGAACTCCTCAGTCCACAGCAAACTGTCAATGTAGAGATTTATAGTCGGCAACTGGAATGTTTAAATCAAGCCCTTCATCAGAAACGCCTTTCACTCATCAATCAGAAAGGTGTTCTTCTGCACGTCCTGTGGCACGTTCGATGCAACACGAGATTATGGAGTTTGGTTAGAAAGTTCTCACCAACCCACCATATTCTCCAGATATGGCACCATCAGATTACCATATTTTTTGTTCGCTGCAACACCATCTTAATGGGAAAACGTGTGCAAATTTGAAAGGTGTTAAAAAGGGCATCGACATTTTTTTTGCTTCAAAGCCAAGTGATTTCTTTAATCAGGGCATTAACAACCTAATTGTAAAATGGTTTGTATTTAATTATGCACAAAGCTACACAAGGGCTATCTGTGCTCTGCCCACCAGGGGTATCAGAACCCGGTTTCTAGCGTTGTAACTCTGCAGACATACCGCTGTGCTACTGGGGGCGATTGTAAGATGGTAAAGCATCATCGATAAAAATGGAGACTATTTCATTTAAAAAGCAAGCATGCTTGGTGATAGAATTTGAACCCACAGCTAATAGATTGCAAGTCAGCTCCCCTAGGCACCAAGCCATGCCAGATCTAAAATAAATTGGTGAATATGACAAATTGGAAAGTATCCATATACATATATACTTTACTGAATTGACTACTTTATCAGAAATTGGATTAGAACATAAAATACAAAGATTAAGTATGAGTGAGTCCAAATGTCCTAGTGTACAATTTATGCCTAGGTCCCTTTGGAGAGCAGAAATGTCACAATCTTCTTCTGTGGGGTCATTTCTTTCTTTTCATTTTTACTTTAATGATCACTGTCTACCATAGTTCCTCTACTTTTAAAATGCCATAAAAGGAAACAAAAACTGGATGCTCATACCAAAGGACAATGCCTCAGTGGTTTGGCTTTAAACTAAAATGATTGACATTAATATTCAAACCAGATAAGTTGGGAGGGAATCCTTCATAAACAATCTGATCACATTATACTCATGATGGCTGTGCCCACAGCATGACACCATCTGGTCCAAGATGGCCACATCCACAAGATAATTCAAGAAGGCTCTGCTACCAAGAAGAATCTCTATCATGATTGGTTATGCCTATATGTAAGACATATAGGGTGCTATTTTGTTCAATAGGGATGTGCCACGACCAGAGAGTTTATTCAAGAAGACCACATACATAGTAGCCCATGTGATGTCAGGAGGTCAACTGGATGTGATTTAATTATGCACAAAGCAAGGTTATGTCAAGGTCGGAGATCATACTAGTCTAATACTCTCATACAAGTAATCTTGCACAAAACAATCTGACATATTTACAAAATACTAAAACTTGCAGCTGACATAATGAATGTGTTCATACAAACATATCAGTGAACTATATCTGTCAAATGATATAAAACTACTATATAATGTCAAAAATATGGACATTTATACATTCAAAAATGTGAACATCTATACTTTGTACATACAGGTTGTCAACTTGGAAATATGGCTCGGGAACATCTGTATTACATCAAACAAGATAATACAGATTAACTGATGAAACAGCATTATAACTATAAACAACACACAGTTTATGACTTAAACATGCACCCACCAACATCCAACTTCCTAGGTAGTCAATCTACAAATTTTGATAAACATAGCCATATGAAATTTCTAATAACTTTAATTAAAATTTCTTTCCTTATTCAAATTTGATCATCATTCTTATTATTAGTAGTACCTGCTTCTTAAGTACATTTCTTCCAAATCTATTTTAATATTAGACTTAAATGTACGACGCTTCAATTTAAAAACTCTCAACTAGTGGATATTTATCTATGCTACATGATAATGTTGTGTTTTTAATGCTACTAAACATCATACCTATTGATGCACTTTTCTCAGTGCGACCTCTAAAGAACAATCAGCAGATACTAGAAGTTCAGAAAACAGAAACAAAGCTCCTAATAATAAGCAAACTTTGAGGGAATAAGGTCTTTAAGATGAAATGTCAGGTGGCAACTATCATAGCAAATAATCCACCGAAAATGTTTCTTTCATCTAATTTTATTGGAAAAAGAAAATAAAACTAAGTATACTTCATTCTTCTCCATTCACTTCACAGTGTCAGGAGGGGTGGTGAGGAAATTTATAAATAGGCTCTTATGCACGGTCTTTCATGTTTTAGAAAATAGTTTTTGTTTTGTAACAGGTAAGAGTACAGTTTCACGTAGTCATTTGGTTTATGATAATAATTTTGGGTTAGGCTAGATTAATCATTATAGGTAAGTTGTTTTAACTATTTAGTCCTTGGCTCTGTAAGCTTTATGTTACGTAGCTAGTGAGAGAAGACTTAATGTTAGTGCAGAAATGTGTGTCTTAGCAGTTTCTGATAACCAGGAAAACTTTTATCATTCAGTAAATCACATCATTATTTGCTAACAAATTCTAATAGTCTTCTGTCAACATTCGATCCAGCAAAGGCCTGGTTTATATTGGGAATTTTTTTTGAAACTTAAAATGTTGATCAAAGGATAAATTTTCCTACACTTTTCATATCACTGAAAATTGAACTCAATTAACAAAGTTCATTGGAACATTGATATAAAACTCATTATAATAAATATTTTAATAGTGTATGACAAAAATATTGAAAACACCATCAGTAAATTACATCCTATTTCAAGTGTGGTTGCACTGAATAAGGATTTAGCATTTTAAACCTGCTGTTTTAAATTTTCTAGCAATATTAAAAAAAAAGAAAGAAAAGTGATTAGATTGTTGAGGATCAATTAATAAAAGCCGCCAAATAATTTTTTCTTTCTTCACGGAGCTAAATTAACCTTAAATAACTGTTTATCAAAATCAAAACCACAAAATCCCAAGCAGATTTTTTAAAATTATAACATAGAAGCTTAAGCTCTTTTCTTTATTATATTTAAATGAACGCAGTTTCACCTCCAAAAATCAATCACTGGATAGCTCACTTGTCCGATCTTACTCCTAACGGGAACTTTCAACTTTGTCTTCCCAAGCACTTAGTAATTTCTTTTTAATTATACACTTATTCTTGGTTCTTGTACAGGTATTTCTGTGGAATGTTTTCTCAAAAATGACATTATGTAGATGATGAGGTTTTGAAATTCCTAAAGACACCTTGGATGCAGGAAAACACAAATGGTCATTTAGACCTTATTTCTTGTCTTCCCATATTGACCAACAATTATACATTTATTCAATATACATTCTCAATACATTCCAAAACTAACTTGAATACATTTACAAATATTTTTTGATAAAAATATCAATCTTTAATTTCCTTAAAAATAAAAAAGAATGAATATGTATCAGAAAGATAAGATCACCTGTCACCAGTTGAAAACTATGGAAATCATGCTTGTTTTGGATATTTACTCAAAGCTACAAAATGGCTATCTAAGCTAACCATCCCTCATTTTGAACTGATACACTAAAGAGAAGACAGTTAGTTAACAGCACCTAACACCAATATTGGGGCTACTCTAATTGAATATTGGATTTAACCACTAGTGTGGAGCTCAATTTTTGCAGCAACAGAACACAAACCATAGACCCTCAGATCCACAGTATGACATGTTTAAGCACAGGGCCAGCCATGCTTGTGCTTTTGACTCTCTTTTTTTCTTTTCTTTGAATTTAAAATACATATGTATTGCACTGCATCAAGTAACAAACCATTTTGAAAATTGTACAGAAGTTTTAAACTCATTAGATTTTGAAACACAAATATATCAGTCACCTACTGTACCAATTCTAAACAAAAAATCAGATACTGCCATTTGATCATTTGCATTATATATCAAATACGACATTATTAACCATATAAAGTATAGTCTCGTATTAATAGCATCAATAAGCTCAAACTAATATATGATTTTTATGCAAAATACATCAGTCAAGTTCGGTAAAAAGTGTACACTACACCATGTATTTAATCACATCCACACAGATTAAACTCTTATGTAGAAAACATTTTATTTGCAAGTACATCATAAAATCCACTCAATTTTGTGTTTACACACAATGCCTTATGCTTTTATCCCTAGAATAATTTCAGTATAGCTTGTATAAAATGTACGTGGTACGAGTTACCACAAAATATCTGTATTGATTTTTTTTTTTAAATGAGACTCTCAGCCAAAGTATACCAGATTGTTACCTATAAAACTGTAGGTGTTTATTGTAAGGTCATTAGAAATTCTGTGTTCTTGTGAACAATTTTTATAAAAATATCATCCATTTTTCTGTAGTAGTATGTGTTTAATACTATAAATGTCTGGTACAGTACAAGAGGATATGTTTCTGTTTTTTTAAGTTCCAACAATATACCAATAGACCAGTACAGTGGTGCACTGTTCCCATACAGAAGATCACCACCATCTTTATGAAATCTTCAAAGAAATTAATAATAATAATAATAAGTGTGACTTCAAAAGCCAATGGATGTTGTACTGAAAAAAACCTTCCTCTCTTCTCTTTCTCGTGTTACATTTCAGTAATTAATTGGTGGCCAGCTTACTGGCTACAATAGCTTCCTCTCCCACAGCAGATAGCACTGTTACCTACAAATCAAAAAGAGAACCAGTTAAATATTCTGTTTAACAGAAACTACTTGCTCCTAATCAATGGCATGCACAACTTTTACCTCAAAATACAAAATAGCCTACTCTGATATATCACATAGCAGTGTTATCTAAAAACAATAAAATCAATTTAGTATTCTATGTTAGAAATGAATAGAAACAGTTACCTCCTCTCCAATGATATATACACCTTTTTTACCTATAAAAATAGCCTCCTGTGCTGTAATAGATAACAGTATACCTAGGAACATGACACCAGAATCAGTTCAGTGTTCTATTCTTTCTTTACATGTTTGCAATTGAAGATGTCGTGTCGGTGCACTTACCTTCTGGTTAAGAGCTGGTTTTCTCAACTTAGTGGCAAGAAAGAACAGAACACAAGTTTCAATTAGTGAATATGAGGTGGACTAAAAATCTTGTATTTTCTACAAACACCTAACTCCTCTTCAATAACATACATTGAAAATTTTTACCTGAAAATACGACATAACCCCCTCTCTTATAGCAGATGGCAGTGTTATGTTAGTACAGAAACTGTATATAGATATTACAATTGACTCTAAAACCGGATCTCTGAAAAAACCAGATCTGAAATGTATAATAGCCTCCTCTGCTATAACAGATGACACTCATACAAACAATAACTTCCAACCAACCCTCTTTTTAACTACATGTACCTATACAAACATTCTTCATAACTTCATTTAAATGGTTCAAGAATATTTTTTCTGGAAAAACTAAAAATGTTCTTCATACATCATAATCATTTGCTTTAAATGAAATCTTCAATTTGTGTAACTTAGAGTAACTAAGCTTTGTAGTCTACAATTACTTAAAACAAGTACCAATAATTAAAAATAGAGCAATGTTATATAATTTTAAAAATTATTTATCTTGCAAATAAACTTGGAAGAAAAGGTTATAATATAATAAAATATATATATAATGAATCACAATCTGCCTCTTCTGTTATTGTCTTCAAAAATTATTGTTAACAACTGTCCTTTTATCCATTCAGCTTTACAACTTAAAGGGCAATTAAAAGATACAAATAGATTCAAACTTACAATAACACTCGAATCTTTCTCAAAGTCATCCCTGATTTTCTGTCCCAATTCTCCTTCAGGAACCCTCAGATCATCACGAGTATCTCCATTGTCATTCATAATTGACACAAAACCATCATCACTAATGTCGACAAGCTGAAAATATATTTTAATTAAGCATTTTTGTATACTCATTTCTGTTCAAACTTTCTCTACAATAATTTTCATATCTCTTTTCCTTGCTAAAATATTAGTAATAATTTAATTTCTACAAGTGGGTTCTTAGTTAATTTCTCTTGGTTACTGATAGACAATTTATTCTTTTTTTCATGAATGCTTAGAAAAGCTTCCTCCAATCTTTTAATGAAGTGACAGAGCTTTAATAAATCCACTTGTGACTGAAAAAAACTGAATGATCCAAAATTAACTCACACTCTTACCTACTTCTAATTCAGATGTCTAGATTCCATTCAGTACTTTGTGTGTAAGAGTATACTACAGATCAAAATAAAGATTTAAATGCTAAGTTATAGCTAGTAATTGCTGTGGTTGCCACACAGTCATTAACCATGCGAGGTGACTTCTTTTTGCCAATTCTGTGCTAAACTGACAATTTACATGAAACCCTGCTTGCACATATGAAAGTCCTCAAAATTGCATATCTCTTTTAAAACAGTTATGGAGCCACATTCAATTACCCTGAAGAATAGATCAGAATATACCTGCAACCCCAACAAAATTGAACTAGTCAGTGAGATGAGTATATGTAGCAGTGTTGACTGATTAATAAATGTTCCTTTCCTAGTTTTATCAAGTATTATTACATTATCTCAATGAAAAAAATCTCATAACACTTAAACAAAGGTGGGTGTACATCAAAGAAACCAAGATTGAAAAGTTACAATTTTCCTAAACTGAAAATGTATTTCTGAGAAATACTTACCTCCTCTTACAAAAAAGCTTTCTCGACTTATACTGCCCTCTGTCTGCACAAATTTTTGCTCGCCACTAGCCTTGATACTCCCACTTATTTCTGCATACTAATATACAAATGACTATGCAGCAACCCTTCACCAATACGAGTGCAACACTACCCCTATTGTAACTAATGACCTCTCTAATCTTGCACATGTTAACCACTTCGTGATTAGTCAGATCAAACCAAACCACACTGGAAGTGGGGAGGAAGGGTGGGAAATGTGAGAGGAGGCAAGTATCTATCCAAAACACATTTTTAGTTTAGGAAAATGTTAGCTTTCAATACAATATCTTTTCACCCTTTAGTAATGTGTTGCCAAAATGGGTGGAAACATGGAGGTGTAACAGACCGTAAATGGGAGTTTGACCGCAACCAACACCTGGGAGCATCAGGAATTTTACATTAGATATGTGGTAAGAAGAGGGTCCTCTACCTTTCATCTCAAAAAAGGGTACCAGCAGGAAGGAAGAACTTCCATACCAAGAACCCACCTCCGCATGTGTGCACCTCCAACACAACCAACACCAGATCCACTGGGAAACAACATTCGGCAGATGGTAAGAAGGAGTAGAGCCCAGGTAGGTATTGCTCTCTGGTCCAAAACCTGGCAGCACTGGGAATTTTTCATCCAGTCTGCAGTAGGAGGAGGGTACTCAGCTTTACACACGCTGGAATTCATGTGTCTCATCCAGCTACAACCAGCACCAGATCCACCAGGAACCAACATCCAGTGGACAGTAGGAAGAAGGACCACTATTTGGGGTTGCATATCCAGTCCAAAATCTGGCAGCAATGTGAATTTATCGTCCAGTCCACAGTAGGAGGAGGATACCATCAAAACACATGGGAGAACTTATGTGGCTGGTCCAGCTCCAACCACCATCCAACCCCTGGGAACCAACATCCAGTGGACGGTATGAAGGAGGATGCCTCAGCCAAAAGGGCAAGCTGCAAATTATGGAGGAGTACAACATCCAACACTTGATGGCATCTGGAATTATACATCAGGTCTGTGGTAAGAAAGGTCTCACGCCATCTACACCAACAGAATGCCACCACCCTACTTTCAACTGAGTGATATTGTGCACACTCAGAAGAACAGGTCTCCCTGGTCTACCATCTCAGTGGCTAGGAACTGGTAAGTGGCAAGGACTACCATACTCCATTACAAGAAGGAAGGAAAAGGTGCGTTGGAGAGTCCAGATGACCACAGCACCAGAGACAGTGCAATGGGTGACCACAATATCCTGTTTTGAAAAGCTAAGCGATGACATTGACGGAGTCGATCAACCAACACCTGGCGGAATTTGGAATTATACATCAGGTCCTCAAATGCCATGCATTCTCAGAAATGAGTAGTAATTTCTGTCTGCTTCACTCATGTTAGTCCATGAGTGTACGATCTGGGACAAACATGCTTATGAAGCAAAAGACTGTAATTTGTAAAGTATACCTACGAGTGGTCCTGCGGAACACCTATCTCCAAGATGGGCATAATATGACCTAGATATATGTTATGACATTGTATTTTGAAAACATAGAGAACACATTGACAGAGCCAATCAACCAACACCTGGCAGCATCTGGAATTGTTCATCAGGTCTTTGGCAGGAAGAGCCTCAACATCAGTCATCTAGCAAGGTATATGATTACAGGTCATACGGTGCAGATTTAAAACAAAGTATACCTGGTCAGACAACACTCACCATGGAGTGGGATCAAAATATGTGATAAAGGCCCCTGCAAAGAAAATGAATGGAGTACTTACCACCAACAGATTAACCGTTCACCACTGATGACGTCCCCCAAGGAAGATGGAAATGTGCAACCAGGGACAAGGTAAGGTGACATATCTAATGGGAAGAAAACATAAAAAAGGCAACAATCATCAAGAGAAAGGGGGGAAGAAAAATGCCAGAAAAAGTAACTGGTGAGTTCAACCCAGAAGGGTAATGGGGAAAAGGTCACAGGAGAGGTGAGGATTTTATGGAAGAAACAAACAAACTTGGGAAACCTGGAAAAGAGCAGTACATGTCATATATCATTGGAGAGCCCTGATCGGGCAAAGGAAGGGAATAAGATCAGAACAGTCATAAAGGTGGGACCAAAAATTGTGTGGGCATGAGGAAAAAAATTGCTCCACTTTGACAAGCCAACCCACAAGACAATGTCCTGGAGAAGAAACTGAGGATGTAGGATTGAGTCATCTTGTGAAGAGGCAAGAAGCAACCATACATCCATATAATGGTGGAAACGAAGGTCCCTTGAATAAATCAGGTGGTCAAAAAACGGGATCCCCAGGAGAAAGGAAGAAAATGGGATTGTGAGACAAAGGAGAAGATGAATGGAAGTAGAGGACCAGACTTACTAAAACGACTTTCAGGAACTGTGGATCGACTGCCAAGAACCCCCAAACTTGGCAAATTGAAGGAGTCTGCCCCCCCCACATCAGCCTTGATCCAAGAAGGGGTGGTCATAGTAATACAAATATAGTAACAGGTAATAGAATTATCTGGGTCCAATCTTCACTAGGAGAGAAGTGACACCAAATGCCACGAATCTAAATAAAGGAAGTTGGAACGATGGTAATCAAAAGCATGATCTTCTGCAGTTTGTGAGGGTTGAGGCATACTGACTCACAAATGCAAATGTTCCCCAAAACAATTCACTTGAACCCCAATATCCAGGCAAGGAGAACACACTAAATAATGACCCAAAGACAAGTTTTGGAGAAGGGTGTGGGGGAATATAAGAAATGGGAAATAAAGATAGAACATAAAATACCTGAATAATCAAATCCACTAAATGGTAGGGGTTTGGACAATCCCTCGAAAAGACACATGACTGAGAGATCTTTTCAGGAGAAGGGGAAAAAGACTGTCCAAATCCAAAACTTCCAGATCACTGAAAACCATAATAGGAAAAACAGTGTTCTGATTATTGCATGAAATTAGTTAACTCCTGACAGATCAAAGCCATCACTAAATGGGTCACAAGAATCATGGTTACAACCCATTTGGACATAGTCGATAGTTCTGCTGTAGCAGTAACAAAAGTTGTAGTCATGACCACCTGAAACTGGGAGTAGATAACTTACAAAAGTGAAAGAGGAGAAAAGATAAATAAAATAATTCGTAACTCTCCACAAAAGAGAACAAAAACGGTAAAGAACTATGTAACTAAAGTAGAAAAATTAAGAAACTAAAAACTTGTGGATAAACACATCTATTCAATAAGACTACCAATCGAGAAGTGGTTAACAGCTGCAAGATTAGAGAGGGCACTAGTTATGATTAGTGTCACACTCCTATTGGTGAAAGGTTGCTGAATAGTCATATGTATGTTAGTATGCAGAACTAAGTGGGAGCTAGTGGCGAGCAAAAAGAAAGTCAAGAAAGTTCTTTTTTTTACAGGAAATTTTAGCAGTTTATATTTCAACAGTTGCACATATACACTACAAATCATTTATGTATATTACAGCCTACAGAAACAAATAAACAGTATTCATATGCAAACAAAGTTTAATTTCATATGAAAAATATAAACAAAGTGAAATTCACCAAACAAAATAACATACTATACTCAAGAGCCTTCTCCTCCTGTTGCCTTTCAACCAAAGTCAAAAGTCCCTATTGAAGCCATTTGGAAATTAATTGCTAATACATTTAAGATTGATAACAAGAGGCACTTATTTACACACAGTCATTGGTTTGTAGAATAAACTGCCCAGCCATGCAATTTACTGATTGTTTCTTTGTCCTCTACAACTCACTTGCAAAAACCAGTTAGATGGCAAATGGTAAACAGTGTTCAGTAATGCACACTTTATGAACTTAAGGCTTGCAACTTGATCTATTGTGTCTATCCCACAGTTTTTGGTTTAGACTGTAAGTGAATGGATTAGCAACCTACCCCCAATCCTTCTAAAATGGCATATCATTGTCAAATTATTATGTTAGCAGTTTTAATGGCTGTCTGGGTATTTTGTTTACTTTTTGCATGTTATTAGTCTATATTCTTTGGTGTATTATTTAATTAAATAAAAATTGTTAAGTGTAGTCATGACCACCTGAAACTGGGAGTAGATAACTTACAAATGTGAAAGAGGAGAAAAGATAAATAAAATAAATCGTAACTCTCCACAAAAGAGAACAAAAACGGTAAAGAACTATGTAACTAAAGTAGAAAAATTAAGAAACTAAAAACTTGTGGATATACTATAATCACTAAAGAAATCAGGGTTAACTCTCCACGACAATAGAGGGCAAGAAAAAAGAAGATTGGGTAAGTACTTTATTTCTTGTTTTTCATATTTATTATTATAAAAGTAACTAAAATTAAAAGTATGGATCTTTTTAAGTTATTTAAGACTAGAATAGGTAAAATAAATAATAATAATATAATTAAAATTGTTCACGAAGCACGCACGCGAGCAACTCATGGGTAATGTAATTCGATACCGGAACATCAGCTGCACGTTCCCCAAGTGATTTACATCTCATAAAGGCACGGTTCATTAAAGTATTAAATTTATGTCAACTTTAAACGAGTACAGAAGGTCACGTGACTCGATCAAATGGACCGACCCTGTGTCAGAAGAGTTAAACAGTTATACTTTCCTAACAGAGTGGTTGACCTTTTGAATGGGTTACCAGATGTGGTAAATTCAAGTGAGGTTACGGAAAGGTTTTATACAAATGATCAGGGCTGTCTGTAAGGTCTCTCATGTTTTTCTAAGTGGACAGGGCAGCCTTAATTGACCAACAGGCCACTTTTTGTGCTTAAATGTTAATCACATACTTTATGTAAGGAAGATGATGTTTTCAAAATTTGGAGCTTATTTTGGAAATAATGACATTAAAACTACCAATATAAAGTCTCTTAATGTGGCAATACATTATAGTAAGAGACTATTATTTCACTTTGCTTTATTTTATGTACTCGTTTAAAGTTGACATAAATTTAATACTTATAACTCTCTATATATTAGGTATATCTTCATGCAATTTGGCAGTCTTTCAATTAATATTACAAGTCCTTCACATACAAAACGTCATACTTCTTAGTGAAGTACTTTTAACAAGATAAAATAAAGTTTTGTCCATGACTATACTGAGTATTTGTTTTGAATAGTAAGAAAGATGATGTTTTCAAAATTTGGAGCTTATTTTGGAAATAATGACATTAAACTACCAATATAAAGTCTCTTAATGTGGCAATACATTATAGTGAGAGACTATTATTTCACCTTGCTTTATTTTATCAATTTATGATATATTTTTATTACTCACTTTCCTATTCAAAAAAAGCTTATTGTATAAAAAAAAGGTTATTTGACTTTCCTTTAGTACAATTTTTTGATGTAATGATTGGACAATTTCCATGCAGTTTACTGGGTATGAACAAAAAACATTTTACAGCTGTAAAAACTGGTCCCAAAGTTGAAGAGCCATTTTACATTGGAATTGTAAGTTTTTATAAAGGACTAAGATAATACGAGAAACAAAAAAAACAATAATAGAACAATTCTTGCAGCACATTATCTATTATAAAAACCAATAGCACAGTTTTTCTAAATGGCCATACATGCAATGACATAATAACAGAAAATAAAGGTAATGACTTTTGTTAGAATTTTGTTTAAATAAAAGTTACACTTTTCATCTTTTCTCTCAGGTTACAGGTATATGCACAAATTAAAAGCTAGTGAAATACATATATTGAAGTGCTTTACTGGTGAAGATCCAACCACCAACAACAACAAAAAGGATAACTCTGTTGTGTATGAATCATATGGTGTTTTATATTGAGAAGAAGGTGCACTATTAATAAAGATATTTAAAAATAAAATAAACAAACTTACCATAAAATCTGAACGAGATACATTGGGAACATCAATATTATGAGTTGAAGGACACAAATCTTCATATTTTTTATTGGTGAAGATGTCTATACCAACAAGATGAACCTACATATAGAAAAATATTTAATAATCTTTAAATTTTTCAATTTTAAATACATTCTATAAAAAATCCAAATGTAATGAAACTCACACAACAAGAGACCATTTGATTCTTCAAGGATGACCTTACACATCCACTCTTAAATAATAAAAAATGTAAACCCCCTCTTTACTTTTCAATAAATCATAGATTTCTCCTCTTTAAACTCCTGTAAAGTACTGGACTATATTACCCCAAAGGCAATTCATTCCATAAGTCAATCACCCTGTAAGAAAAATAAAAACATCATAACTGAAGTCTAATTTATCTTTTCCAAATCATAAACTTTCATGCCTTGAAAATTCCACTTGTCTGCTCGCAAAATGCAAATAGTGGATGTTAACATTTTCTTATACTGAAAATGTATTTTCGATAGGCACTTACCTCATCTCACCAAAAGCTATCTCGATCCTAGACTGCCCTCTAAGCATTGCTAAAATTTTTTGCTAACAGCACACCAGTCTATTATACCCCATCAGTTTTGTGCTGGTCATGTGACTACCCTTCACCAATCATATTGTGCCCTCTATACTAGCACAGCTAGCTCCCTTTATTATTCTAGAGTAATCCTCACTTTTGAGAATTGGCAGGTATAAACAAGAAACATCGGTATATCAGTGGGAAGGAAGGATGAGAAGTGTGTGAGAGGAGATGATTACCTATTGAAAATACATTTTCAGTCTAAAAAAAATGTTAAGTTCCGAAAAAATCTTATCTCCTCTCACCCAAAGCTGGAATCCCACATTGCAAAGGTGGAGGGGGCCAGTGAATGCGCATGAATATCCAACTTAAGTGAAAAGTGACCACACTGAAAGAACAGATGTGCAAGAATATGAAAAGAAAGTACACCTGTGGGGTATAGTACTACTTCTGGAAAAGGTATGCTCTTTACCCAGCAGACATCGTTGACCTTGATATCTGGGGACTTATGTCAGAATCATTGTCTATCACCACAGGAATTACATCGTCCACCATATTAAATCTCAAATTCATATGAACACATTACAATTTGGAAAAAAAAAAAACTTCTAAAACAAACAAGTAGAACAATGGAAATCATACACAAGAAGTTGAAACTGATATAAACACAATTAAAATTTTGTAGTCACATGGAGAGCGAGATAAAACACAAGTCTATACACTAGAATGCCAATCAAGATAGCTTAGGGTGGGAGGGGGTAAAGCCACTTAGGAAGTATAACAGCAAGTTGACTTTTGACAGGTTCACTATTTCCACTGGTTCAATTTATCTCCCTTGTACAGTAATTGTGGCTAAAATTAAATGGTCAGACTTCATTAAAGACCATGTTTTCTTTTTATATCAGTCTAACATTTTGTTATGTATGTGTATTTCAATGTCACAGCCCCTGATACTGTTAACATACATAATGATTGGCATAGTATTTAGGGCAATGATTCTTATTAAAGTCTATGATGATGAAAACTTTAATTTTGTGTAAAAGTAACTGATATTCTGTAAAACTAAAGCTTAGTTTGTCCATAATTATGAAGTATCTATATAGGAGAAGTATTTTCCTTAGCATCATACCCTAGCTTTGTTTGATAGCTCAGAGTATGTACACTTATTGCCTAATGGCTCTTTACACTTTTAAACACACTGCCCTCTTATATTTTTCCCTCATTCTGATCTCTTATGATTTTTGGTTATGTTACTATATTCGGAATGAAAGGTCAAAATATTGATCAGTTTCTGCAAATGATGCTTATCACATTCACACATACCTCATGCAACATGAGGTATGTGTCAATACAAAGGTCAAACCCTATAAGAAAGAGGTTAGTCAATTTGACCAACCTCAGAACTATAAAATTATACATATTAAAATTCTGCACTCAATATGTGTATCTTTACAACATTTGTCAAGCTTTTATTATACAATATAAATCTGTTGTACACAAAAAAAAAGTTTAATGAAGTGTTTTTACTAAAGATTCGTCTGTGAATTTTTGAAGCCTTTACTGAGTCAGCCTAAGTGAAAGGTGATTTTTATGCTAAGAATAAAAATACTTCATCTTACAGTTTCATATTTCATTTATATAGCATCTATAACTTCCTAAATGAATATCAAAATTTTTTTGGTAAAACATTATATTTTATTTCTTATTTTATCTTCCCTAACATAACTAAATAAATCATCAAAATAGAAAATATGAAATAAAATGAATAATATCAATTTGATTGCAGTATTAATCAGAAAGTTCTAAGTTACTTATCTTAACAGTTTTAACTGTAAACCTTTTTCAGGTGTTTTAATTCTGTGGTACTTTGTACCCCATTGGAGCAGTAATTCTTGCATCAAAAGCAATAAATCACAGCAACAGCCTCAGCTGTCTTGAACATAAACAGCACATGATCTAGTGTCATATTACACTCCAGCACTCAAGTTAGTGTAATTTTAAACATTGTATTTTACTGAAATGTTGTTAGGCTATGCTAAGTTTATTCTTTTTTACATATCTGACATATGCAATGCCAGTAAGGCCTTTTGTCCAACACCAGGGTTCATCAGGCCAGCTGAAATACTGAGGGCAGGAATAGTGCTAATATTTAATAAAGGATATGGGTTTAAATTTTTACTTTTCTTGAAGATGGTGCACAAGGATAGCCTTAAAGGAACAAATCATTAAAACATTTGAATTAAGTCACACTGACCAACATTCAAAAGTTTAAATAACTAACAAATTTAAAGTTTTATTCTTGCAATATAAATTATCTAGAATTTTTTAAACTGCAATTAATGAACTTTAAAAGTATAAATTTTTTATATCTCACTTTTACAACATACCTTGGCATGACCATGTTTTCCAGTTTTAGATGTGCTCATTTCCATGATTTTACATGGTCGGTTTTTCAACATAACAAAACCATTTTTGCGTAATGAGGAACACTGGGCTGGGTATGTTGCTGAAGCTCCAGCACTGGCCTGAGAAAAAACTGTATCATCATCCATTTTGCCTTGACAACTTCAAATAATGCTGAAAAGAATTTTCAGATAATTTTTATGAATAGCTTCAATTTTATTAAACATATTTTTAGGTATAATTTTTTCTTTTCTAATTATAGAAACAAAGTTTTTTTTTATAATTACTAAACTAACAAGACTCACAAACTGATTATAACATATAAACTCAACTACAGCCAACCTATAAATTGTCATCAAACTATACATGTAATAATAGGTAGGCAAACATCAATTTACTAGGCAAATATTGATTTATAAACACAAGGAAGAGTTTTATTGATAACAGTATGTTCAATCATCAATAAAACTCTTCCTTGTGTTTATAAATCAATATTTGCCTACTTATCATTATATTATTATAATGTGCTTCCTTATGCAAGTAAACTGTACATGTCTAATAATATTCAAATTAATGTATAAATTCTTCTAATTTCCTACATGTTCTTATTCACCTTTGTACTTATGATTTCATAAACCGTTTCATGTCAGGCTTTTTTTTATATAAACAAATTAAAAAAGTTAATTTTTTTATTTCACTTTTTTGGTAGTCTATACTTGTATATTAATCAAACAAAAGTTCTTTTATGATCTGTTGATATTTCTACACAAAATATACTTGATAAATAAATTTTCATACCTAGATTTATATGTGATATACATTAATTCAATGAAAAACTACAGTAAAAAAATTAATGCTCTTCTCCAGTATTAATTTAAAATAAATATGACAGAGAGAGCATTTCCAATACTACCCAACAAGCACCGATTAAAATACATGATAACATGTGAATAAATTTGGACAAATAATTTTTGAAACATGGAGGGTGCCTGAATTCAAATCACAAAAAAAGTGAACATGGATAAAGAATTATTTGAAGTCTATTAACTTATTCTATTTCTTTTAGCATATTTGAAAATAAATTTTCAATATATACTTCGCAATCATCTCTTCATTTTAGATTTACAATTAATTCTAAGTACTCTTAATAGCAAGATATCATAAATTTTTCATATGAATTAACTTTATAAATATACATTAAACATTAACTAGTGTTTTGTAGCTTGTACTGATTCTTTGTTACTTAACAAAATGATAAAAACAACATCAGGGCAGGAAATTCATGGCAGCCATGGTAACAATTGCCACAGCATTTTTCAAAATGGCCATGGTACCCTCAGAAATTCACTAAAATCCATGGCTACGATGGCCATCGTGCCCTCACAACCTAAATTTGTATTGCACACTGCAGTAAAGGGAACACAAACAATGGACTTAGAACCTACAGAAACTACCTTATTATGCATAACATATCACATGCAATGCATGTAGTGGAAGGAGTGAAGTTTTTGCTCTGACTGGCAGTAAAACTTTCGTGCAGTTTCTTGAGTCATACCATACAATAGGCTCTTAGTAGTAACAAGCAATTCAAATTGGTGCTCAAACAACAAACCTGCAGAGCTTATACAAAGACACAGCAACAGCAGTAAGTGGCGATCAAAGTCAGCACATACATATGCTGGTCAGAATGAAGTGTGCGACTCCAAATACTCCTCGCATTAAAAATGTCAAAAAAAAAACAAGTTAAGAGCGAGAATGCCAAAATTTTTTTTTTCTGTGACAGCCAAGTGCAAGAAATTGGAACATTTTTTTATTGATAAATATGTAGATTACATCCTGATCTTTTAGAAAATGAAGGGAAATAGGATATGTCAATAATTCGACTTCATAAATCTTACATGCAAACCCACCAAAGGCTTAGGCGTACTACTTTAGCTAGCTATGGTTAACTTACTGAATTACAAGTAGCAAGTTGCACAATGCAATGTGTAACGACATGTGATCTATAGGTTATGACCATGTTCTATACTGTAGTGTAGGCCTAGTTTACTGTTTATCGGCACTAGCCTATGCTAGAAATTACGCAAAAAAATACTAATAGAATGTTGACCTTATGTCATGGCAACGTATCTTTTTATCTATCTGTCTGTCAAAATTTTCAAAGGTCTGCTGGTTGGAGACCATATAACTGATTTTCATCAATCTTGGTCAAGTAGTCAGACATGTAGTGGTTCAATTATGTTGGTAGAAATTAAGCCCTTAAACTTCTCCTCCCAGGGATTTTGTCTGATCATTCTCAAAGTTAGACAAAGTAATAAATGGATAAAGGTGCATAAAAGTTGTATACAATCCTTAGGTCAAAGGTCATTTGGGGTCAGGATGGGGCAAAAGCTAGAATATTATAAAGCACTTGTTCTCTTTATGTGCAAGTCTGATCTTTATCAAAAGTGGATAAATTAGTAAGTTGATAGAGATGCCTAAAGTTTGTTCATTATTTGTAAAATCACCAGAGGTCAAATCCTGGAAACTTTTAAAATGCTTCTCTCATGGATTTTGTTTGATCCTTCTCAAAGTAACAGTTGAGGGAGGTGCCTAAAAGTTGTACACGATTTTCAGGTCAAATGTCATTTGGGGTTAGGAGGGGGCAAAAACTATTAAGGTCACAGGACATTTTAGATCAGCGTGACACTTCTTTTTTAATCTTAAAGCTGATGCACTGTTACTTCATAAGTCTCATTGGCTAAAGTTAATTTTTACCTACCTGATAAACATAATCTGGAAGGATAAGCCAGCTCCCATGCCCCCGAATGAAAAAAATGAATGCCTTATTTACTAAACTAATTGGGAAACTCATTTCTATTCCATTAACATTAATGTGTACTGTGGCATTAGTGCCCTCTAGTGAATTATTTTTGGCCTTGCTGCCTTGGCTGTTGGCACCCTCAAAAATAAGATCCAAGGCCAAATGGCTTTGCCCTAAAAATAATGAATTTCCAGGTCTGCAATATGTTAGTGACTTAGCAGAGTTTGTACTTTTCAAATCAACTTTCTCTAACTTTAAATAATACAATTCCAGCTACTAAAAACACATGACAAACATTAAATTCAAAATGCTTTCTTACAAAAACTTACTTAGCAAACTATCAACATAACAGTACAACTAGAATAGGTACTTGAATATACTAAACCAAATTTTAAACAGTCACATCTATACCAATGCATTTTGCACTTTGATACAATCAAAATATGAACTTTTTGTAAAATACAGATAACTAATTATGTCTGACACTGGTAAACTGCTTTTTCAATGCTGTTACCACAATGCATAAAGTCCTGTAAAGAACAAGCTTACATATTATTCCATTTAATTAATATTAACTTCTGAACAAAGCAAGCAACCTACATATATCACAAGTAAAAACCAACCAGTAAAAGTGTTGTTAGTGATATTTTCTGCTTATAATTAATGTAAAAGAACATCAGAAGAACTATAGCCTTTGTTTGGCCTAGGCCAAACAAGGAAAAAAAAATATTCAACTTCAATATACATTTACATTAAATCAATCCTAAAAGCTCTGAATAAGTGGTTTAAACAATTGTCTTCATATTAATATTAATCAACTTCATAATAATTAATATTACTAGTATTAGTATCTTATAAAGTTTACATACTACTCACTGATGATACTCAGTGCAAAAAAATCATGCCTAGACTCTTTAACCAAATGTACACAAGGTAGTTCCATTTGAGAAATGTTAAATACAGTAACACCTCGATTAACAGGCACCTTGAAACAACAGGCACCACACCATTAACAGCAAACCTTTTCAGTCTTTCTTTTTTCTACTATTTGTAACCAAAATAAATCTTGTGATAATTGGCACCTCGATATTCTGGGTTAACACGTTCACTTCCAAGGTCGTATTTGTGGAATTTCATTTTGGCATAACTTTATTTCTTTTTACCAAATAGTAATTTTTTGCCAGATTTAAGGATATTAGGTATAAATATGTTGTTATATAATGTTTCCTATTGCTTTTGTTAATTTTAAAAAAATGATTGACATGGGCCTCTATGAAAGCCAAACTTATGAATACATATTGCACTCAGTGTCCCTATTCCCCTTTCTTTTGTATTTCCTGCTTTGAAGAACATCATACAAACTAAAAAATTAAAACAAAAAATAAATTTCTCATAAATCATTAGTTTATTTTTATACAGATAATGGAAATCGTTTTTGTTCTAACAAGAGGAAATATTTGGTGCTACTATAGCATGAGGTCTACCGCCATATGTCACCTACCCAGGTCTATCAAACATGTATAAAAATGTATCACACATTTCCATACATTTATTTTAGTGATAAACACTTAATTTGATACATTTTTATACAT